GGAGGAACACAGCAGGCCAGGCAGCATCAGAGGAGCAGGAAAGCTGATGTTTCAGGTCTGGACCCTTCTTCAGAAGGGTCAGCTTTCCTGCTCCTCTGATGCTGCCTGGCCTGCTGTGTTCATCCAGTTCTACACCTTGTTATCTCAGACTCCAGCATCGCCAGTTCCTACTATATCTCAGCTGAGTCCTTGTGATTTCTTTTTTATGATTAACAAACTAATAAACAATCCAATGAAAACAATCTGTAGTCACTTTATAGATTCTTTTTCAATGAAAGTAACCACAGATTTCCTGTTGCAGTCCTGTATTTAAGTTGAATTATATATTAACATTTCAAATGTTGCCCAATGATTTGGTAGGCAGCTAGCTTTTCTGTCACTGCACTCTACAAATCAAAGCGTTTGTACATTTGCTGTGTGGTCTCTGCAGTTGGGATCATATTTGGCATTTTACCATGGAATCTGTGGTGATGAAATAGTCTTGTGCAGTAATGTAAGATGAAGGAGAAATATACTCTACATGACCTACCCATCTACTGTCTTCACTGAAAAGGAAGGTCAGAAAGATGTGAAACAGAGGTTGATTCATTATTACTTAAGCTGCAGGAACATAAAAGACTAGTTTCAAACCCAAGATCACAGATTTGTGTTGGAGTAAGGCAGGATTGTAACTTCCTTTCAAGTGATGCCTGCTGGTGAGGATATTTATGTGGACTTGAGGGCAGAGTTAATCTCAGTTGTTGTGCTTGTTGTCTCTTGTTGTGGTAGCATTTGCTATCTAAGTTGCCAATAAGCATGTGCAATCAGGTGATGAAGAGTTGCTGATACTTGTAGAATTGTAGAACAGCAAGAACCAGCCCATCAGGTGATGAAAATAAGTTAAATAGAGCAAATATTCTTCAACACAGTTAAAGGTAACAATGACATCTTCACAGGTTATTAAGGGGTATCTTGGACACTGGATGTTCATATGAATCGAAAGGGTATGATCTGCTGGAGTAACAGCAATCTGATACTTTAGAAGGTTTGTACTTGTATGATTAGAATAATTAGATTTTTAAAAAAATGAAAATCACTCCCACACACCTTGAATTGCCAGCTCTTTCCATTTTTCTTTGTTTTGCTGAATGATGTCCATCCAGTTCAACTTAAAGCATTTTAGGTCCACAGTAGAAATGGAATATTCTGTGGAACAACCTCCATCCGATGGTACACTCCTTACACTGTGTCTTCTGGTTGAATCTGTAGTGGCTCCCACTCCAATACTGGTAAGACTTCAATAACACAAAAATCATTCAAGCTAATTACTGAGGTATAAATTGTGGCATATCACTGAATGAAAGAGAAACCTTTTAAACATTAGTTAATTATTTAATAAGGATGACTAATGCTCGTCTATATAATGTCATATTAAAAGTGAGTCCCATTTACTATTAGTTTCTGTAATGAAAAATATTCAATTAAATAAAACTTATTTCTTTGTTTGCTGTTGGTTCTCATCATGCCCATTTCTGTCTTATTTCCTTGGACCTTTAATTTCTGATACCACTTTCATTTAAAAAAAACAATTTCTTACACAGTTTCTACATTTTTCTAATTTTAGCTTTCATTATTTTTTGTACCTGTATAATAACTTGCAGACCAAGGACACAACAGGAAACAGAACCCATTGGAATCGACAGATGGAGAGGACACAGAGAGGAAATAATAGGAATAATCAGGAAATGCGAACAACTAATGGGAAATTGTCGCTATGTTACACAGAGACGGTAGATCAAAAGAATAAAGCCACAGTTTAGTTAACAGAGTAGAGAAAGAGATAATTCCTCGCTAGTATGTCAAGCCAACCCCATACCAAATTGTAGGATGCTTCGCTGCAGATGTGAGTGCCAGCGATCGGATTGTAGAGGCAGAATTTGTGGTGTTTGAGGAGGATGGCAAGCATCCTCCAAGCATAGGAACTGCCTGAGCCTCAGGGAAGTGACAAATTAGGTTAAAAATAACTTTTCTGATACCCTACGCAGAGTTTAGAGAGGCATATGGACCAATTTTTCAAGGAATTGGGAAGTCGCTCAACTGCCAAATGAAATTAACTAACCACAAGAACAAGAAGCATTTAGCTCAGCCTATACACAGAACATATTTTGGTCTGAGAGGGAAAATTGAAGCAAAGGTCAGGGAATTGATATCGGTTTTATTCAGCTGTTAGAGAACCTGGGGAATCCATATCAGGATTTTTGAAGTGGACACCCTCATTTGGTCGACTGAGTTTGGGGAACACCACTTGAGTGCAGGCAATCACAGAGCCTCACGCAGGGCATAGCCTGAGCAGAGGAACCCTAGACCCAGCCCACAGCAGAGTCCCACAACAAAGCCGAACTTCAGCCAAATGGCTAAAAACTTCTTCAGGATCTGGGCCGGCAAGCCAGTGGGGACTCCAGACGGCAAAGGAGTCCTACAAAGCCTGACTTGAGTAAGAAAACTTGTAGGCTGGTACCCGGGAGAGTGCACATCCTGGGACATCCTCCTACATGTGGTTTGGAACAATTAACTCGCTCAGCAATGTCCAAATCAGAACTGATTAAAATTAATGTTTGGTTAAATGGTCACCCAGTTCCCATTGGGTTGATACTGGCACAGCTGTATCTGTGGTTGCAGAACCTGTCTTTACCAAGATACACTCAGTTTTCCAACGCTTACGTTTACATGAAACTTCAGCCAGACTGAGAACATACACTGGGGAACCGTTGCAGATTAAGGGTACGACTTCTGTTCCGCTCTCCTATGAGCAGCAGTTGGTGCCGTTCCCATTGATTTGAGTAAAAGGCTCAGGCCCAAGCTTATTGGGACGGGATTGCTTGAGAAAGATTCACCTGGATTGGGTTAACCTTTTTCAATTGGAAAACAGCTGCCTCAGTGAAGTCCTAGTGAAATGTCCAGGTGTTTTTCAGGAAGGGCTTGAGACTATCAAAGGGTCCAAAGCTACTTTACACGTTGACCAGGAAGCAATTCTGAGATTTTGCAAAGTCTGCCCGGTACTATTTGCACTGCGGGCAAAAGTAGAGGGTGGAGGAAGCTTTGTGGAATGAGCAGCACCGTTCATACTGACTGTGAAACCTGACGGCTCAGTTTGCCTTTGTGGGGATTTTAAGCAAACAGTAAACTGCTTCTCACAGCTGGATAAATACCCAATCCCTCACTTAAAAGACGTACACAAAGTACACGGGGGAGGAGACATGAGCCGAGCCTATCTGCAATTGTAAGTGGACGAGGAGTCCCAGAAGTACGCCACAATTAATACCCATAAGGGTTTATACCAACATACAAGACTATCATTTGGGGTATCATCAGCCTGCGCCCTTTTCCAGCGGACCACAGAGAACATTTTACAAGGGTTACCCCAAGTTGCCATTTATCTGGATGACGTGCTAATAACAGGGAAGGTCAATAAAGACCAGTTGGAAAACCAAGACATAGTGCTTAAACATTTCCCTTCTGAGGCGTACACCTTAGAAGGGAAAAAATGGATGTTCCAGACAGCCCAAGTGACCTATTGGGTTACAGAGTCAACAAACCGGGGTACACCCGTTGGAAGATGAAGTGAGGATGATCAAAGGAGCCCCGGCTCCCACGTCTGCACCAGTCTTTCCTTGGCCTAGTGAACTATTACAGAAAGGTCATATGTAACCTGGCCTCCATCTTGGCACCTTTACACCTGCTATTGAAAAAGGGTCAGCCTTGGAAATGGTCACGTAGCTAAAAAGTAGCCTTTCGGGACGCTGTTGGCCCACTACACTCCAAAGCGAGAGGAGGTGCTGACATGTGATGCCTCCCATACAGTATCAGGGTAGGGTTAACTCCCCAATGGAGAGGAACGCCCCATAGCAGATGCTTCCCAGACTTTGGCTGATGCTGAACGCATATATGCCCAAATAAAGAAGGAAGGTTTGGCAGTCATCTTTGGTGTGAGGAGGTTCCACCAGTACCTATATGGATGGGAATTTGTCATCGTAACAGATCACAAACCCCTGCTAAGGCTACTGAAGGAAGCCAAGGTGGTGCCACCCATAGCTTCCAGTAGGATTCAGCAGTGAGCTCTGATTCTCAGTGTGTACAAGTACAAGTTGGAACACCATCCAGGAAGCCAAGTGGCTAATGTGGATGCCTTGAGCTGCCTCCCACTGGCAGATACTCCTCTGGTGGTGCCTCCCCTGGAACAGTCTGTTTCTGTTTTAAACTTCCTGGACATCCTTCAGTCACATTCAAAGTGGTTGGATGTGCATGAGGTTTGTTCAGCAAACCCAGGGATGACAATTGAGAAACTACAAGCATTGTTTGTGATACATAGACTCCCGAAAGTATTGGTCATGGACAATGGGATGTCATTTCCCAGCAGGGAATTTGAATCTTTCCTAAAGTCAAATGGCATTTGGTACATAAGGACGGCTCCATACCATCCATCGTCCAATGTTCTAGCTGAAAGATCCATACGAACGTTGAAGGAAGGCTGAAAGAAGCAGTCTATAGTGTCACTTGATACCAAACTGTCCCGGTACCTGTTCAATTATAGGATCCCGTGCACCCCACCCCCACCACCCCCCAACAACAACATGGAATAGCTCCAGCAGAGTGGCTGATGGGGAGAAGACTCTGCACCAGGTTAAACCTGATACTCCCAGAACTGGGGAAGGAGAGTGAAACGGCAGCAGGAACACCAATGCTGCCACATGCCTCTTCTAAGCGAGAGAGACAGTTTAATTCGGGGGACGAAGTTTGGTGCCGGAACCATGGGAGTAGCCCTGTATGGGTACGAGGCGAGGTTGATGTGAGGTCAGGTCCCATCACTTACAAAGTTTGGGTAGGTGATAAGGTCCTGAACAAACATGTGGATCACCTGAAAGCTGTTACCTCACAAATGGGGCAGAAGCAAAACATATCTGGCCCTCAGAACAGCCAGAAGGCCTGTCAAAAATCACAGGTTCTTCCTCCTCTGTTTAGTGTCGAGGAAACCTCAGAGTGCGAGATAGATGCAGCCTTACCACTGGAAGAACAGGAAGAAACTCTCCTGAGATGCTCTGGATGTAAGAGACGGACTACACGCTGCCCGTGTTACAGTTTGAATCAGAGGAACCCGATCTGGGGCGAAAATGTCACAGGAAAAGCTATGAGAGAAAGACCAGGCCCACACCCCTGGACGTGGAGGGGGAGGGATGTAGTGATTGAAACCAGCTGGATCTTGTTGGCTATGAGAGCCCTGATTTGGGTTAGACTTTTATTTTTATTCTGGGCTTTGAGTAAGTCTAGTACTTTTAAAACTTTGTATTCCTTTGATAAAATATTTTGTTTTTACTCTTTCAATTCTGTAACAAACACTTAAAGTGTCTGTACCTTGGTAATTAGTACCTAAGATGGCGCCAACATCGTGACTAAACTTTTCATTTCACTCATTTGAGTGCACATAATAATAAAGGCTATTCCATTCTATTCTAACCCTGGACCAATCAGGAACACCCTGGATGACCAATATTCAGGGGATTTAGCCCCACCTCGGTTCAGGGGACTGACTGAACCGTCTGGTCACAGCCAGTGTACTGTGCACAAGGAAATAACAGGTGTCTCCGTGATAGAATAACAGCCTCTGTGCAGTTATTTCAAAATTACAAAGAATCCAGCTGAGTTATTATTTGGATGCAGGTACACACTAAGTTCCAGAGCTGAGAGACATCAACATTGATCAGGAGCTTCAAGATCATCATGCTCAGAAAATGGATGCTGCAATGTTTTCTGCAGAATACAGATAGGAGCTAGACATTCTAATGTATTGTCAAGTGATGACATATTTCAAAGGTAGATAATTCTGTATAAGATGCATACATTATTTTATAATGAACCTTGCATGGTCATCACCAAGAAGGGACACTGTCACTATGCATGCTCCATTAAGTGTACTGGATGATGGAAGTACTTCATGAGTCAAAAGTGTCATAACGTTAAAGATATTGCAGCAGATGCACCGAATGAAAGAGCTGAGGTGAAGCTGACATCCAGCATCCAGAAGTCAAAGCTAAATCAAATCACTATCCAGAGGGAAAAACATTGGATCCAGGGGAGCACAATGATATTTCCTATTACTGATGCAAGGACCAGAGTTTAGAGACAGCAGGAAGTCCATGGCACAAGAGAACACAAAAGCCAGATGAAGATTTTGAGTGGTTTGGCCATAGAACCTGAAATGAAAAATCAGTTTGGAAAAATAATTTTTACTTTAAAACAA